AAAACTGGATCAAAATCAATTCAAAAGGTGATATTCGTAATCACCGTGAAATTTTGCATCGAATGATATAGTTTTAAGTGAAAAATAAGAACTTGCAATTCTTTTGAATTAGCGGCGCCTTACTAGTAATAAGAATACATGGAATATTACTGTTACCGGTAATAGGAATATATACAATACTTATATTACTGATAACAGTAACAGTAATGTGTGACCCCTACTTAGAACCGTCATTAAGCTTGAGTCTCATGACAAAGTATCTTCACTTTCTTTGCTATTTTTGATTCGTTGAAAAAGCCAGCGACCTAGTGAGAACGAGTTTCTGAAATTCATTCTAATAACTCATTCTTCAGTAAAATGCGATAAGAACTTATAAGACTATGATTGCATCATCATTTACTAGCTCCTCTTTAACTTTGTAATAAACTGTGTGAAAACATGTAAGCGAAAATGGAGAACTAATCTAGAAACCTAATAATAACCAAATAAGAGAAAAGAGTAGATAACCAATATAAGATATGCAGGTTCGGATCCTGTGCAGGGCACGACTTCTGTTTAAACGAACATCAAATGATCGTTCAAACTTTAGTGAAACGTAATAGGAATTTTATGAATATTCCTATTACTAATAACAGTAATACTGAAAAGTATTACTGGTACTGGTAATAGGAGTACTTTTCAGTATTACTATTACCAGTAATATGAATATATGGAAGAATATTACTGTTACCAGCAACAAGAATACCTTTCAGTATTACTTTCCTCGGTAATGTAATACATGAGTAACAGTAATATTTCGCCGCCCCCATAATTCTAAGCTAACAACTAAATGAAGTGCACCAGCCAAAATTCTCACGTTGAAAACATAATTAACATGATGCTCAAGTTATGCCTCATTCAGAGTACGACTAGCATCGTCAATAGTGCACTCACTTTCCATGCCATCTTCTCCGTTTATTTGTTAGGCAAATGATGTACCTTTACTCTGTAGTCTGAAGTATTGGATAGCAGGAATAAATGAATTAAGCATACCTCTTATTATACTCGACTCGAATGAAATAAAACTTAATTCGATACGGCGTCTAAAAAACTTTATACATGATCTTGAGTTCATCACACACGTTCCTTTGTCTAAATCCATTGTTTCAATTATTGATTTTTATTTATCGAAAATACTAACTACATTCCCAAAAAATAACACTTTGACTTTAATGGTTGTCATTTGGATTCATGATCGAATTGTTTTGTTTATCATTGGAATATAGACGATTGAACAAATACTTTAACTGTAGACGAAATAATTTACCGCTCAAACAATATAGAAAAAAATTTACACAAAAATTGCTCAGCATTAACAATTCAGTTGATTGTTTAACCAGTTTTAAATCTTCATTTTGAAATCGATTGATATAATTTAATAACCATAATATACAATAGGGTGTATTGAGTACGAGAAATGAACATGAAACGAGTAATAATGTAACCGTTATTCGACGTCGTGTACCGCCCTTTAATTGAATATTATACTGTCGTTGTGTCTTTGTATGCCAAAATACATGTGAAAAATCAGTTTCTTTTCTTTCAATTGGATCCAAAACATCAGCCTCCTGCACCAAACTCAAATGAGAATAGTAATAGCAAAAAACCTCAACAGATTAAATTTAAGCTGACTAATCAAGGTTAGGCATGCACAGTGTCGATGTTCACACCGAAAAACTGACACTAGTTGCACCGATATTGGTTTCATACTGTTACACTGGCTCTGTTCTGTTTTTATAATAATCAAGTTTCTGTTTTGTGTAAAGTGTAGGGATGTACTCTCTTGCTATAACGGTGAGCATAGTACCTGAAGCTTTAATTTTTGAGTAGAAGATGTACAGGTTCATTCCCGTAATCAATCAAACCGTAATTTTGTAATAACTAATAAAAAGTAATCGGGAAAGAAGAACTAGTTTAAATTAAAATGTGAGACGATATCTTACACATGAAACTCGATTTACAGAGATGGACAAGTACGAGTATATACTGAAGCACAAAATTCCTAGTACGCTTACTCGTACTCGGGACTTCCAAAAAATACTCGAATGTTTTCCAAAAAACTGGTGATCTTATTTTTACTATTTGCGTATCAAAAAACCGATTTATTCGGAAATTGTTTTGAATTCACCGGCTTCTTCAGAAAAAAAAATACTCGTACTCCTACTCGTACTCGATCTTTAGTACTCCTACTCATAAAACCGGGTACTCGCCCATCTCTCTCGATTTATAATTCTTTCATTTTGATTCTGAGCTAGTGAGTGAATATAAAACATACTTTTAAAAAATGAACTTTCAAATATAGAATCAAATAAATTAGGTTTTAAATTCTACCATGAAGAATTTTGCAAAGAATAATCAGTTGAGCGTTTCAGGTGAAATACTAGCTGAAGTTCGGTTTACACCGAGCACAGTAAATATACGAATCGATACTATCAATGGCGGGATCCTCAACTCTCACCTCTATCTACACAAGCGCCCTTTATAATAGTGACAGTTTATGGGAACAGAAAACAGTGTCTGAAAAAATTACGAGATAAAAATCCAGTAAATTTTTTCACAAAACAGACAGGCGTAACGCAACAAAAAAAAAAAGCGTTGATGCCGTAGGATTTAGAAGCGAAGTTACCTGTTTTGTCAATGCCTTTTTATCATTATTTTGAAATGGTAATATGACTAAGGATAATTGATCATATCCATCATGTTGATTATGTTGAACTGGATTAATTGATCCATCTGAAGGAATTGATAATCGTGCATGTACATGTGAACTATAAATTGAAAAAAAAATAAAAAATAAAATAATAGAATTTTCAAATATTCATATATAATATAGAAATATACTCGATAGAATTTCTTTCTAGTTGTTTGTGCATTGATCTCAAAGTAATTTTGTGCATAATAAGCATATTACCAATACCAATAATGAACATTGGAATTAAATAAACACTTATCATTGTCACAATAACAAAATGCATATAAATTGAGCGATATTTTGGTAATACATCACATATAGCCGCCGGATATAATAATCCATAATGGAAGGGTACATTGACGTTTAAAATAATAGATATAATAAATATAATTAAAAGTATATATCTTGCCGTTTTTCGTCTACATATAGATTTTCGATGTAATGGATAATAAATAACTACTAAACGTTCAATTGTAAATGAGACAAGAATCCAAGATGATGTTAATCGACTAATATTTCTTATATATTGAACGATAATACATACAAATGTTGATGAATTTTCAAGAAAATCCATATGTAAATTATATAAAGTATCATAATTACGAAATGTATCTTCAAATAAATTATTTATTAAAAAACATATATCTGATATTGCTAATGTTGATAAATATAAATGTGAACTTTGTCGACGGAATTTTGGTGAATAAAAAATAATAATTGATATAATATTACCACAAATACCAAATATAGTTAAACAAAATGTTAAATTTACCAATATATGTCGTGTAAAATGTGGTGAAATGGGAACATGGTTATCTGAATCCATGTTAGAATAACATCATGTAAATATTTATAAACAAAAATCTAAAAAAAAAAAAGATCATTCATTACATATTAGGATAGTATAGAAACAAGTGAGATAGAAAAAAGAAATAGAGAAGATACAATGGATCTAATAATATTTTATTCTCTTCTTTTTTTACTTTCTATTTTTATCTTTTTATTTTTTTTATCTAAGAAATTATTAGTAATCATTATTCTTTTGACTATAAGATTTCTAGCTTACATCCGGTAATTTTTTCTGATGTGAATAACAAGCACTTTAGATATATACTAATAATCATTTTCTCATGTCTAATCTATAAAAAATATAGAAAAGCATTAGATTAATTTAATTCAACTTCAAATCACATTTTTATCACAGTAAATTCGTCATTTTTCTCAATAAATTATATATATGTGTATATTATATATATATAATGATTAACAATACATGACATCCGTATATTTCTTGTCAATTTTCGAACAAAGAAAAAATTTTCATTTAAGGCGGACAAAACTTGATAAATGACATATTTAACTGATACCGATGTTCGAACTTTGAGAATATTATCTGTTTATTTAATCTAAATAGTTCTATATATATATATATATATATATATTTTTAGTGAAATATTTATCATTTCTTTGTAAAAAGTAAATTCTTTTCGAAGACAATTAACTAATAGCAAGAATAATTAACTTCGATACACAATCATATTTTATCTATATAGAATAGAAGAACATGAGATTTTTTTTAATAGTATACATGCGTGTCACAACAAAAAAAATAATGATTCTTTTTTAGTTTTTTATTTGTTTCTCTTTTATGTTTGACTTTTCATATTATTCTACCGTCCCAATAGATTACGATGAAGTTGACTCTTTTTTAACTTGATTGTGCCCAACAGCATATGAAAATCAATGTCAATAAAACATGACAGTCTAATTTTTTCTTGGTTATTGATCATAAGCACAATCTACAAGCAAGTATTCATAATTATTTCAAATGAAAAATGAATGTTTTTGTTGTCATTATTGTTTTTATAACAGAAAAAACACCATATGTTTTAAATAATGCAAAATAATATAATTTCTAAATTTTTATATGTATTCTCTTTTTATTATTTTATGATTTATATACTTAGAATCTTGTTTTTTCTCTAAAATGATCTTGAAAAATCAGTGATGACATTTGATGATCGGTTAATTCGGTGTAGATCTTTTTGTCGCCGACAATTTGTTACAGACTTTTTCATTGCAGATCTATTTTTTACGGATAATTCATCGAATGATCCATTTGTTGCACAGATCATTCGTCACAAGTAGCCAAAAGATTTTTCTCCTTTATTTCTCTTGAATGTTATTGACCTCGGATCAGTAAAAGAAAGAAAGGTGAGAAACAGATGTTTTATGCATTTTTCTCATTTAATTATATTTTTGATTTAATGCTTTAATCTTGAAATAAGAAGAAAAAAAAAATGACACTTTATTAGAAAAGAAGGAAACAAATATTAATTTAACAAATCAAATACTAAAAGCAAATATGTATAGGAGAAAATCCATCGTGTTTATAATGTCACATTTGTTGCAATGCCACTCAGATAGTCATCCAATTGATTTATATTGTAACTTGTCACTAAACGTTTAATTCTATTATTAAGTTTTCTATACGACACTTAGGATGGATAAGATCTTTTTACTTTCTTTTGTACACGTTTTCTTTTATATCAAAGTGCCATTCTTCTTCTTCTTATTTCAAGATAAACGCATTAAATCAAAGATATAATTGATGAGAAAAACCCATAAAGCATCTGTTTCTCGTTTTTGTTTCTTTTACTGATCTGAGGTCAATAACATCTAAGTAAAACAAAGGAGAAAAATTCTTTTGACTTCTTATGACGGTGTGACAAACAACAAACTCTTTTCTATTAGAATGGAGTTCATCCCAAGGCTCAAGTCTCACTTATTAGCCATCTTATTTGGCGTTTTGATTGCTGACATAGCTCCTTTTTTACTGAATGCAGATAATCATTTCTATGCCGACGATTTCTATGTACCTTTCTGAGTATGTCGTTTCAAGAATCGATGAAATATTTGCAGGAGTATGGACAAAAATTATCAGATAGTCTGAAAATTTATTGCGATCAGTAGTTAATCGAACTTAATACTAAGAATATGGTTGTTCTAGTTGTGCACTTTCAGATTACAGTTCCATTGATCGCGCTAAGTTATAATCAGGCATGAGCGAGTCCGAGTCCGGACTGGAAGATTTTTCGACGGACTTGGACTGGAGATTTTTTTGAAGGACTCGGACTCGGACTTGAGTCTTTGTATTTCGAGTCCGATCTATTCAACTTTTAACACAAATAAGCAGAGAAAAATGAAAAGTGAAATAATAACACTTACTGTTTCACATGAAATTGAAAATTTTGTTCGGGAGACGGATATGGAACGTAACCTTATTTTCGAAAAATCAAATATCTATCCAGGGCTCAGCAAGTTAAAATATAAACCACACTCATCAAAAAAGAATTTAAAAGATTATCGGACTTGAAATGGAGTCGGTCTCGAACTGGTCCATCCCTGGTGATAATCTGAATCCAGTTCAATGTGTTAAAATCTTTACCTATCCGGGTTACAATATCACGATAAGATTAGCTAATGGTCCATTTTTAGGTAAACAATGTATCTACGATGAATAATCTATCAACAGCTTTTCGTACCGTTTCCTCTCTATTCAAACAGTTTGGATTACTATCTATCATTCTTCGTCGTAGAGCCTTCTTCGCATTCGTTTACCCATATTTTAATTGAATTATCCCAATCTTCTTCTACCTATCTGGCAATCAACAACAAGACATCATTAATTTGTTTGCTTTCTGTCTCAAAGTGTATGGTTGTGATTATCTTGATAGATATCTTTTTTTTTCACTAGCAGGTGAGCAGACATTTCTAGACCGGGTCTATTCATATTGATATAAATATCTTAAACTATTTCCTGGCTTTACAGACTCCTCTTCACTGTCAGAATCTTGGATTACATATCGATTACTATGTCCAGACAAAAATGATTTTTCCATTCAACAAACTGGCTTTGGACAAAACGACTGTCAGATACGTTTATACGCTAATAATTACGTGTAAATTTTTTCTGATTGTCATACATTCCTAGCCGAGTACAAACAGTCTTTTAATTTCTTTCAAAAAGCTTTTGATAAACTAGCACCTAAAATAAATATTTTCTTCAAAATATTCGGAAGCATTCATAAGATAGTATTTCTTACACAGTACCTTTTACCTACTTTTGTATTCGTATACTCTCAATCTCTTTTTATTTGCGTATTCCAATTTGTACTTCTACATGTGTGAAAAATGAATGTTCTGTCCTAATTGTATATGACAAAATCGTCTAATGTAACTTTTTGTTCACTTAATGTTTCAAAAATGTAAATGTTTAGATTCTTTTCTCCCATATAATTATATATACACTTCGCATATTATTCAACAGAGATGAAATGCTGTTATTCCTCTTTTTTTTGTACTATTCCTTATTCTGATTACAGAGAGGTTTTTCTTATAGACATAGTTTTACGTGTTCTTAACTATACACATCTTATATCAATTTAATCTACTCTCTTTGTTCTATTTTTTGGTTAGCACTGAAGCCTTTTGCAAATAAACAACAACATCGGTGCGACGAAATGACCTGTGACAAATTGACCTAGTATCTAACATTCAGTCTACGTGGGCTTAACAGCATTATCCTGATGAAAATGTAATGCATATAACATTGTCCATAACATCACAGTTATTAAATAAAGCTTATAATAACATTATTGAGGAAATTGACAACAGTAATCTAATCAACAAATCTTCTGATTATAAATGAATGTTTCGTGAACAATTAAGTTTACAAAGTTTAAATATATAAATTGACATGAAAGTCTATATATTGTACTTTTTTTCCGAATTGACTAAGTAAAATCGTGTCCTCTCTCCTCCTATCAGAATAAAAGGCCATGAAAATCTAAAGTATCCTGTTGAACGTCTACTTTTCGGGGGAATTTTGGATGCGATGACGTTCTAATTTAAGTAAGCCCACAAGTGGCATTTCGTTGTTTCCTAAGAAACGTTTACCTGATGGTGTCTTTCTAAAAACAGGTGTCATTCAATTCCACCACGAAAGACTTAAGATAGTACACTTTTTTTCGAATATAATTAGTCTTAGGAATAGATAATAATACTTTATCAATGTCGAACTATTTCTGAAGTTGAAAGCACTAAGACTAATCATGTTACATCTCTCTCAAATATTTTGTAATTAGTTCATATATCATCGAAGACATACGTAAATGCCTTACATAAATATTTATTTAGAGTATAGATAGAAAAAAGGCTATTTATCAATGTGCAATGTAAAATAGAAAGAAATGACGAAAACTATGTGTATGGGAGAGAGTACCATATGTACATGTAATGGGCGGAAAATTAACAAAAGATATCAATAAGAGAAAGGCAACAATAGATAATGAGTTTCTAATATACGTACGTGTCTTTATAAATAAAAATAAAAAACTTCGATCATGTTAGATAAATCAAAAGAATTTTACAACTGAACTCCTTTAAAAAATTAATGGTATTATTATTATGACTGATAAACTTTTAGACCATGAAATATTGAACGATCTAACATATATACTTTTTTAACACGAAAGTTGAATGGAACTAATTTATCAAAGAGAAACAAAAAAACAAAAGCCTCAAGGAACAACATATTACTGTGAATGATCTCAGGCAATAAAAGACACACACGAATTGTGCGAATAAATGAATGTATGTAAACATCATCAAGATAAAATCTAATAAATACAGATTGTAGACGAAGAAGTCTCAAGTGTTCGACAAATGTTATTATATTTTTATTCAACTGACTTAACTATGTAAAACTCTTTCTTTTAAACTTTTATTAGAAAAACCGAGGTCTCGCACCATCGAGTAATTAAC